TGGCAAGGTTCCACTCTACTGCCCAGGCTGGAGTGCTGGAGTGCAGTGGCATGATCACAGCTCACTGCAGCCCCAGCCCCGACCTCCTGGGCTAAAGCCATCCTCCTGCTCAGCCTCCCAAGTAGCTGGGACCACAGACATGTGCCACCACACCTGGCTAATTTTTGTATTTTTTTTGTAGAGACAGGATTTTGCCATGTTGCCCAGGCTGGTCTCCAACTACTGAGCTCAAGCGATCCACCCACCTTGGCCTCCTGAAGTGTTGGGAGTACAGGCGTGAGCCACCACCCTGGCCCCAAGTCTTAGGGGCCCAGAATTGCAGATGCGTTCCCTATTTTAAGCAGAGGGACCAACACAATCTGGCAGGGAAAATTCCTATGGCTAGAAACACAGACACAGCAGTGGCGAGAGTGAGGCACGTTGTATATATTTTCTTTTTATATCTTAAACCTGATAACTGGCTTCAAGGCCCCATTTTCCAGATGAAAAAAACTGAGGTTCAGAGCAGTCAACTAACTTGCCTAGAGCAAATTCATTGTAAGTGGCACACCAGGCTTGGTAAGTGGCAAACCAAGCTGATGTCAAGCCCTTGGAGTTAAGCTCTCCGCTATACATGGGAGAAAGGGCCATGGGGGGTCAGCGAGTGGGGGGCAAGCTGGAGAAAGGAAGAATAGCTGATCCAAGGTCTCAGAGCAGGTTCATTTCTGGGGAAAGACCGCTATCTCTGCTGCCCCAGGCAGAGGAAGACTTGGGCCCTGTGAAAGGAAAATAAAACCTCAGGATCCCCAAGTCACTAAGCCAAGGGAAGAAATCAAGTTGGGAGCTATGCCAGGCAAACCCACCTCCCATTGGATTCCTAAATAAGGTAAGAGAGCTACATACCTCTCTCACAAACTGCCCACAAGAAAATTGGCTGTGGGCCTCAAGATCTTTACCCTAAAACAGTTCTGTTGAATTTCACCCTGCAATGTAAACTAATAGTGGATCTTCAGAGGCGTGCACAGAAAATCATATCTGCTCACCTGAGACAAATGCACATGTGATTGCTTCCTCTGCCCGATTGTTTATGAAAAATGCAGATTCACTGAGTCAGACTAAATTGTGTATTCAGTGGAAGGCTGATCAAGGAATCAAAAGAATGCAACTTTTTGTCTCTTATCAACCTTCTGCCTCTTATGACCTGGAAGCACCCCTGCCACCTTCAAGTTGTCCCACATTGCCAGAGCAAACCAACGTACATCTTACACATATTGATTGATGTCTCCTGTCTCCCTGACATGTATCAAAGCAAGCTGTGCCCTGACTACCTTAGGCACATGCCAGGGCCTCCTGAGGCTGTGCCATGGCTGCATCCTTAAGCTTGAGGGAACATTGACTGAGATCTGTGTCAGATGTTTGGGGTTCACAGCCCTGCCATCACTGCCCTCCTCCCCACCTCCTGCCCTAGGCATGGCTGGCAGACAAAAACCGGGAGAGCAGCCCACTCCCTGCGGATCTACCTTTACTGGAACAGGCAGAGGAGGTTCTGTGTCACAGCACGGAGGTGGGTGTAAGCCTGCAGGAGGTTACAGCTGATCCCTGAGGTGCGGCTGCCCCAAGGTGGTGGCTTTAGCCTGGGAGGGCCAGAAGAACTCAGGTGAGACCTCAGCAACCCACATGGAGAGGGAGGGTGGGGAGAGGAAGGGTGGGGAGAGGGTGGGGAGATGACTAGACTCTGATGCACACAGGCTCCCACTTCCATTCAAAGACACTTCAGTGAGACACTTACATCTGCAGTGGAGGGCAAGAAACATGACCCCAGGAGAGAGCAGCTATGGTTCGAGGCAGTGGAACCAGCTCCTGGTGGGAGACTGAGGTCTTGGTTCTACTCCCAGTTTCACTCCGGATTTGCTGAATGATCTGGAGACCTCCAGGACCCTCGGCTTTCCATCTGCAGAGCCGAAAGAGCGGATGGGAGGTTTCTAGGTTCCCTCCACTTCTCATCATTGCCGACATTCACTTGTAACAGCGGTCGGACTCCCCTCTGTGCACCTGTCCTGCAGGCAGACCTAGCAAGGTACGTTTTTCTGGCTTGGGAGATTTGGGCTGAGCAGTCCAGGGTGGCTGAGGTTTAGAGGGGACATCGGGGGAAGTACTTCTCCTATTTCTTAAGATCTGGGCTAGACTCAGCTCTTCCCATAGGGATTTACCTGAAGCTCAGGAACACTGTAGATCTGGCTCCCAAAACTGCCTCTGCAAAATTAAAACGCTTGGAGAAATCTAACACAGCTCACTCCATCTTGCTGCTTTTAAAAAAAATATCTTTTGGTATACAAATTTTTTTGTTGTTGTTGTTACATGGATGAATTATACAGTGGTGAATTCTGAGATTTTAGTGCACTCATCATCTGAGTAGTGTTAGCTAATGTGTAGTTTTTTATCCCTAGCACCCCTCTCCAGCCTCCTCCCCCTTCTGAGTCTCTGAAATCCATTATATTACTCTGTGTTTATATATTTGTAGCTTAACTCCCACTCATAAGTGACAACATATGTTTTTGGGTTTTCCACTCCTGTGTTCCTTCACTTAGAATACTGGCCTCCAGGCTGGGTGTGGTGACTCATGCCTGTAATCCCCGCACTTTGGGAGGCCAAGGTGGACAGATCACTTGAGGTCAGGAGTTCGAGACCAGCCTGGCCAACATGGCGAAACCTCATCCCTACTAAAAATACAAAAATTAGCCGGGCATGGTGGTGGGTCCCTGTAGTCCCAGCTACTAGGGAGGCTGAGGCAGGAGAATCGCTTGACCTGGCAGGCAGAGGTTGCAGTGAGCTGAGATCGTGCCACTGCACTCCAGCCTGGAAACAGTGTAAGAACCTGTCTCAAATTAAAAAGAAAAAAAAAAAAAAGAATAGTGGCTTCCAGCTCCATCCAAGTTGCTGCAAAAGACATTATTTTGTTCCTTTTAGTGGCTGAGTAGTATTCCATTGTGTATGTATACATTCTCTCTATCCACTCATTAGCCTACGGGGACTTAGTTTGGTTCCACATCTTTGCAATTATGAACTGACTGCTATAAGCACGTGTGTGCAAGTGTCTCTTTCATATATTGACTTATTTTCCTTTGGATAGATACCCAGTGGTGGGACTGCTGAATATCCACCTTGCTTCTAACCTCACAAACTCACTGCTTTTGCTTTTTCCTGGCCATAGGTCAAACTACGATGGGAAAAATTAAGTTTACAATTTAAAGCAAGGATGATAAGAGTCCCTTCCTGAAACTAGCCCCTTCCTTGTTTGGGGACCCAAACTGCCTTTGGAAAACTAATGAAAGTCAACAAGGTTAGAATTGTGGTAGGGGCCTGAGTTCTGCTAATTCAGATAAGTGATAACCAGCCATTATTCTCTCTCTCTCTCTTTTTTTTTTTTTTTTTTTTTTTTTTACAGTCCAGAGGTCTTTCATTTTTTTAACACCTATTATGCCATGAATTCATAGGGAATAGGCTCCAGCAGCTCAGGCTCCTTCCCACTGGTTCTCACAAAGTGTGCTTCTCTGGGTGGAGCAGGCTGGCGCTTCAGGTGGACCCAGGAACCTTTCTCTTGGGCTTCTTTCTTTTTCTGATCATTTGCCTTCACTCATTTCAGGAAGCTACCTCGGCTCTTAGAGTGTTTGATGTGCTCAATACGCACATTAATTCTCTTGGCAAGAATCTTGCCCTTAACTTGTTTGTTTACAACAACGCCAACAGCATGCTGGGTAACGCTGTAGACTCTTCCAGTTTTGCCATGATAACATTTGTGGGGCATTCCTTTTTGAACAGCACCCATTCCCTTGATGTCTACAATATCACCTTTCTTATAGATTCGCATATACGTGGCCAAAGGAACAGCTCCATGTTTTCTAAAAAACCTAGAGAACACATATAGTGCCTCTCTTTCCTTTTGTGTTCCTCATTTTGGCAAATTACTGGAAGATGGCCGTTCAGGCCGAAAGGAACCAGCCATCATTCTTTAACTTACCTACTGCTCAGGAGCCTGTAGCCAAAGGTCACAAGATAAAGGAACTTCTCCAATTGCTCCTATAGATAACATCACTATTATAAAACCTAAGACTGGTCTTCAAGATATTTTTCAGACTTTCGCATTCTAGAGAATCTTGACTCATATGAAAGAACGGACTCAGTGGATCTTCTGACGCCCAGCAGAAACTGCATGCAAAGATAGTTCTGGCACTCTTAATAGCTTAATCCCCAGCAAACCTGCATGTCCTACTACCTAGCCACCTGCCCACCAAACTATCCTGAAAAACCCTAGCCTCCAAATTCTCAGAGAGGTTGATTTGAGAAATACCTCCCACTCAGCTGTGTGTGATAATTAAACTCTTTCTCTGCTGCAACACTCCTGCTGTTCTCAGTGTATTGGCTTTTCTGGGCAGCAGACAAGAACCTGGCTGGGTGATTACTCCCCCGGCTGTCTCTGAGGAAGCGGTTGCAGTGGGCACCAGGTAAGTCTTTTTCTGGGTGTGGAGTGAGGACACAAGTACACTCCCAGCTGTTGGAACAGAAGGCTCTGGCTGCAGGTTGGCCTCGCTTTAGTCTCAGGCAGCTGTGGCCAGCAGGGGTCCAGTGGCTGCTGTAGGAAGCCTGGGTTCCAGTCCCAGCTCTGCTACCAACCACTCAACCTTGGCCAGGTCTTTTCCTCTCTCTGGGCCTCTTGTCCCTGTTGGTAAAATGTGGCTGTTGGACTCGATCATCTCCTAGGTCCTAGCTGTGATCTAAAGATCTAAAGGAACGCAGACTCCACACTTACCATTTCTTTTTTTTTTTTTTTGAGACAGGGTCTTGCTCTGTCACCCAGGCTGGAGTGCAGTGGCACGATCTTGGCTCACTGCAACCTCTGCCTCCTGGGTTCAAGTGATTCTCCTGCCTCAGTCTCCTGAGTAGCTGAGATTATAGGCACGCACCAACACGCCCGGCTAATTTTTGTATTTTTAGTAGAGACGGTTTCATCATGTTGGTCAGACTGGTCTCAAACTCCTGACCTTGTGATCCACCTGCCTCAGCCTCCCAAAGTGCTGGGATTACAGGCATGAGCCACTGCTCCTGGCCCACACTTATCATTTCTGTGCCTTGGTTTTCTCATCTCTGAATGGAAACGTATGTGAGAGCCTGGAAGAGAACCACAATCACCCCATCCTGTATGGGTGGTGCATGCAGCTTGCTTGATACCCATACCAGGATTCTGACATAGGCTGGGCTGAGGCCCGTAGCCCATCATCCTACAGATGGGAAACTCAGGAGGGCTCCATGGAGCTCTCTGTAGCTGGATGGGAGGGCCAAGGGCATACTTACCGGAGAGCTGGCCAGGCGTGGTGGCTCACACCTGTAATCCCGGCACTTTGGGAGGCCGATGCGGGTGGATCACCTGAGGTCAGGAGTTAAAGACCAGGCTGGCCAACATGGTGAAACCCCGTCTCTGCTAAAAGTACAATACAAAAATTAGCTGGACGTGGTGGTGTGTGCCTGTAATCCCAGCTACTTGGGAGGCTGACACAGGAGAATTGCTTGAACACAGGAGACAGAGGTTACAGTGGTCCAAGATTGCACCACTGCACTCCAGCCTGGGTGACAGAGCAAGCCTCCATCTCAAAACAAACAAACAAAAAAAACTTGTCTGGGAGCCCTGGCTCGCAGGGCCTGTGGGGAGTGGGGAGCTGAGAGCTAGGAGGAGGCTGGGTCATCAGAGCAAGTCTTTTCCAGGATGCAAAGACCATGCTCAGTAGACGGCTCGGTTGGAGTTTTGGGGATAAGCACCAGCCTCGGGGGCCTGAAGGAAGCCCATGGAAGCCCGTGGCCATGGCCAAAGGAACTCATCACCCTGGGGCCAGAAGAATTGCTCGTCAAGTGGTCCTGCAAAGGATCCAGGAGCTTTCTGATTTGGTATGTTGGGAGAGGAAAGACGAGGAGTTGTGAGCCTCAGGTCTTCCGTAGTGGGCAAGAAATAGGCTTTCTGTTTCACCGTTCTGTAACGCCATTAGGCTGTCTCTCTCAAGGCTCTCTTGTGCTAAAACTAATGGAAAAGCTTGACTTGGGAAACCCTATGAAGGGTTTCCCAACTCAGCCCTCCTGGGTTTTTACTCTTCCTGCCCTGCCTGCTTCTACCACTTGGGGTTTTACCCAGTGCCAAGCTGTGGCATCCTCCAGCTTCTGTCTACAAAGATGATTGCCCGCTTGTCCTCCTGGCTTCCCTGGCTCCCTGGGTTTTTAGGGCTGTGCTGCCTCCATGCATGGTCCTGTCCGGACCTGATCGCCACCATCACCGGAGAACCTGTTGGAGGTGCAGACTCTTTGTCCACTCCAGACCGACTGCACAGAGCACATAGTTGACAAGATCCTGGGGGAGCTGCCTGCTGGGACGGCCTGCTCTAGACTCACCCAGTGACTTATCATCTCTCCACCGGCTTCCAGGGGCCCCACCCCACCTCCCCTCAGACTCCCTTAGGACACAGAGTCTCAGCTCTCTTACCATCTTCACCAACCCCTCCCTGCCAGTCAGGGGACACTTTTCCCGGTCTGAGGGAGGGCCTTCTGTCAGTGTCACCGTGACATTCTTCTTGCACCCTGGCACCCTCTCCTTTCAAGGGCTAAGCTTCCCAAAGAAGGCCAGGAAGTCTCATAGCCACCTCCTGCCTGGCCACATCTCTCCCCCAGGGACATGATAGAGCCAGACACGAGCATCAATGAGGAGGAGAAGAAGAGAGAAAATTAGAGAGAAAAATAGATACCTCAAAATATCCCGACCCACAGGTATCACCTGAAGCTGTTCATTGTTGGGATTGAATCTCAACTGTGTTGCTGTCCAGCAGTAAGACCTTGGGTGAGGCACTCCAGCCCTCTGTACCTCAGTGGCTGCATCTGTGCAATGGGAATGATTTATATAGTACCTCCTTCCCTTCCCCCCGCATGGTGTGTGGCTCATGATAATTAATTAATGAGCTCATGCTGCATGAGTCCACAACTTTTTCTCTGTGGCTCAGTCGGATGGAAGCTCCACCAGGATGGGGATTTTGGGTCTGTTTTCTTCACTGCTCTTTCCCCAGTACCCAGACAAGAGTATGGCACAGAGTAGGTGCTGGATGACCCTGTTGAATAACTGTAGAAAAAATAGCCTGGAGCTGCCCCAGCCCAGCAGGCTCTTCTCTCCTCCGAGGACCGTGGCACACATCGCAAGGCAGAATATAACAGTGTCAAGTGTGGTCTCCCGAGACTTAGGAGACCTGGGTTCAGACCCTGTCTTTGCCATCCTCTTGCTGTAGGAACTTGAGCCAGTGACCACCTTTCTGAGCCTTTGCTTCCCCATCTCTAAAATGAGGATAACAGCAGCCCTTATTTCATAGAGCTGTTGTGAGGATTAAATGAAATAATCCACCCCTCAGCCTTTCCTCCCTATCTCCCTGTCCTGTAGGACCAGTGAGACCCCTTCATGCTGGCCGACCTGGACATGCTGGTCAGCTGCCATCGGGCCTTCTGCCAAGGCCTGCCATGGGTCTCGCCCTTCTATGCACTGAAGTGTAACAACGGCCCTTGGGCGCTGCATGTCCTGGCCACCCTGGGCACCGGCTTCGACTGTGCCAGCCAGGTGAGCCTGTGTCTGTGGAGGAGTAGCCAGGCCCGCTGCTGCTGTGGTCATGAATAAGTTTCCCTTGTCCCTCGGAGCACTTGAAATGCACTAAGCACACTGCAGGGGCCTTACATGCCTTCTCCCTGATTCTCTCATCCGCTCTGCGAGGTAGCCAGGGGACCCCCATTTCATAGAGGAGGCAACAGCCTCAGGTGGATCACTTGCCCATGGGCTAACATATGGTAAGAGACAGAACATCTCGAGGGTGGGGGGCTAAAAAAAATAAAATTAATAAAATAAAATTTAAAAAAAGACAGAGACAGCTGATCCGAAGCGGAATTTCTTTCGTACACCGGGGTGAAACATTCCGAGGGGTTCTTAGCAGAAGGGGATTCAGCAGTGATGAGGGAGGTTAGAGCAGAAGCCAAGGTGGGAAGGGGAGAACTTCTCGGGCTGGGAGTATTTCGCTGAGCCTCCCTCCTTCCTTCCTTCCTTTCTTTTTAAGTGTAGTAGGGAGAAGTGGGGAAGAGCAGAACAAGGTGGTCATCTGTAACTGACTGAACAATCAACTGAGAGAACTCACTGCCTTCAGACCAGCCCTTCCTCCCTTCCCAGGAGCCCTCTGCTAAGCAGGATTAAGCTGCCTCTAGGAAGCCACCCCATCTCTGCATGGGGCTGAAATGGATCGGAGGGAGTTGGTTCTAAGCTGAGACTATCAGCACCTGGAGTGCCCGGTGCATTGAGACTATCAGCCCTGCGCTGCCCAGCAAGGGCTCCATAATGAACACCCCATCAGCCCCACCCAGGGCTCCTCTCTGAAAGTGAGGGAGCAGAGGGTGGGTTCCAACCTGGGGTTCCATCAGGGCAGCCTCTTTGGCTCATGCACACTTTCTCTATCCCCACATAGTTGGGGGTGGGCAGTGAGGCAGCCCCCAACCCTGGCTCTTGGCCACTCCAGATGGAGCTGGAGCACGTGCTGGGCCTGGGCGTGGCCCCCTCTCGTGTCATCTATGCCAACCCCTGCAAGCCTGCCTCCCACATCTGGTATGCTGCCCACCACGGGGTGCAGCTCCTGACCTTTGTCAGCGAGGAGGAGCTGACCAAGGTGGCCCAGCACCACCCCAGGGCCAGGTGAGACCAGCAGGGGTGCAGGTAGGTGGGGCAAGGGTCAGCAATAAAGAATGAATCACCCAGCACAGCACACCCCTGACAAATGCTGGCCTGAGACAAGCCAGGGGAGGACGCTCAAGGCCCAGCCAGTTTAAGAGGGTCTGGCAGCTGCCTTTGGAGTGAGACAGCCCAGGTTCAAATCCTGGAATGGGTTGCTTCCCTGCGTTGGGCAAGTCTCTCTCTCTCTGTTTTTTTTTTTGAGACAGAGTGTTGCTCTTGTTGCCCAGGCTAGAGTGCAATGGTGCGATCTCAGCTCAAAGTGACCTCTGCCTCCCAGTTCAAGTGATTCTTCATGCTTTATGTGTGACTGTGCCTCCCAAGTAGCTGGGATTACAGGCCTGAGCCACCACACTCAGCTAATTTTTTGTATTTTTAGTAGAGACAGGGTTTCACTATGTTGGCCAGGCTGGTCTCAAACTCTGACCTCAGGTGATCCACCCGCCTCAACCTCCAAAAGTTCTGGGATTACAGGCGTGAGCCACTGCGCCCAGCCTGGGCAAGTCTCTTTTAACCTCTCTAACACTCAGTTCCTTCATTTACAACATGGGGGCATGTTGCCTGGTACATAGTAGGTGCTTACCAACACTGTATCAGTTTCCCACACTCCCTTCTCTGGGTGTACCTGGAGAAAAGTAGATGTATACACAGGTGCGTGGGGCTGGTTTATGGCCACATGGATTTGGTGGCGTTGGAAAACCTCCCAGATCTGCGGATCAGCTCAGCTCGGGTGGGGCTGGAGATATAAGAAGGCCTGGGCCCCTTGGCATCTCTGGTTAAGTGATCTCCATCCCGGTGTCCCTCCTCCAGGCTGCTCCTCCGGCTGGGGACTCAGGACAGCCAGAGCACCTTCCCCCTGAGCACCAAGTACGGAGCCAGCCTGGAGGCATGTGGGCACCTGCTCATGTCTGCCAGAGACCTGGGGTTGGCCGTGGTTGGAGCCAGGTGAGTGACACCTGAGGACTCCAGGAGCCCTGGGTTCTGGTCCATTGCTGGGGCCCATGGCAAGCTGTGGCCCCTCTCTAGGCCTGTGGGACCCCATCCGTCAAAAGGGGCAGGATATGATGTGAAGGTTACTCAGGGCCTCCCTGCTCTGGGGCCCTGGGGTTTGAGGTTTTCCTGTGAAGTGTCCATGAGGGGAAGGGACGCCCACGTGGCAGTGCTGGGATCACGGGCTCCATGGCAGTGTGTGTCTGAGGGTGTGTACATGTGAATACTCAGGGTGAGTGCCCCTTTGTGGGTGCCTCATTGGCCTGAGTGTGCAGGTGTCTGAAAGCACACAGTTATGCCAGTGTAATCAGTTAGCTTTCCAGCTGTTTGTTTCTGCATTTGGCCCCAGTGTCTTCGTGCCTTATGTGTGACTGTGCTTCTCTGACTATTGTGGTTATCCACAGTCCGTGTGGCTTTGTGGTTCTGAACATGTTTTTCTGTACATATCTCTCACCGTGTCACATGCACTGGCTATGCTAGCTTCCACGTGGGCCCTGACTGCCAGACACCCCAGAGCTTCACACAGGCCATCGCTGACTGCCAGCGCGTTTTTGAAAAGGGCCGCGGGGCTGGGCATGATATGAGCCACCTGGACATTGGAGGGGGCTTCCCTGGAATGGAGGGCTCCGGGACCAAGTTTGAGGAGGTGAGCTGGCAAGGGCACTGGGGGTGTTCAGGGAGGTCGGCCTGTGTGCCCAGGCATGTGTGTGTGGAGGGGTCTGTGTGTATGCATGTATCTCTGTGTGTTGCGGTCTCTTTGGTGTGTCTCTGGGTGTGTTTTGTCTGTGAGCACAGGTGGGTATGTGCGTATGTGCATGTCTTTCATATCCCCCAAAAGCAGACTCTCAGACAAATACTTGGATGCACGCAGTTTTTTTGGAGATGATCGGTGGAAGCACCAATGAGGAAGTCAGGAAAGTGAGATGGAAGGGAGAAAGGTCAGAAGAGAATTCATCTATGAGCTGGTTACCAGTGTGCGCCCCGGTACCAGTCCCCCTGGGGACAATGCAGAACCTCAGAATCATCCCACTAGGGGACAGGGGGCTAGGTCCTTTATTCACCAACTCCTGCCCCTCTTTGGTTGAAGGCTGTGGTCTGAGGGTGTTAATTTCCCCACATTCCAGCTAGTTTCCAAGGGTGCTGGAGACAGCCCACAGGAAGAGAAGCAACGCAGGCACTGGAGGCTAGAAATCGCCTTGCACAGGGCAGGCGAGCTCAGGTAGGCTGAGGGCAGGTGGCACAGGGTGTCCACTGCAGCTGCAGCAAGGTGTTGGGGGCTGTCCCTCTCTGTGTGTCTGTATGTATATATGTTTTCCTGTAGAATTGTTAGCATCACCAATACAGTTACAGTTGGGAGTTTACATTCCCTGGGTCCATGAGATACCTGTCTTCTTACTGTGCGTCAGATTAAATCACTGCACCTTTGGACTTCTCAGGGAGCCCGGTGGCCATGCTCTTTCAGCCCCTACACCTACCATGCAACCCACACAAGTGACCTCCCATCTTTCAGCTTCTGTTCCCTCTTTGGTAAACAGGGATAATTCTAACGCCTACCCTGCAGGGTGCCTCGGGGATGAACGGACTGACCAGGTAAGGCGCCGGCACAGGCCCTGGCACATCAACACGTGTTGGATGAGTTCACCTCTTCCTGCTGTCCCTCCACCCCATTCCAGTTGGCGAGAGTGATCAGTGCTGCCCTGGCCCAGGACTTCCCTGAGGAGTGTGGCGTCAAGGTCATCGCAGAGCCTGGCCGCTTCTATGTGGAGTCTGTCTGCACTGCCGCTGTCAACATCATTGCCAAGAAGGCTGTGCTGGAGCCTGGTGGGTGGGCCAGGATGGTGCTGGTTGGGGAGGCCACTGTCTAGGCGTCCCCAGGCCCTGGGGGAGAGGAAGGGCAGAGAGTTGGGCTCTGTCTCAGGGGCTGGAGGTCAGAGTAGTGACTGAACACTCTCTGGACCTGTCCTTTCCCTGCTTTCAGAAGGCAGCCGGAAGCTGGTGTATTATCTCAATGATGGCCACTATGGCTCCTTCGGCGCCTGCCATTGAGAGCCTGTCCCGAGGGTTCCCATCGTGGTGAAGGTAAGGGAGCCACGCCAGCCCCAAGAGTCTAGTCCTTTACCTCGACATGCCTTGTGCCTCCCAGACTGGGAACAGTGGCTGTGCTGGACACCAGAGGCAGGGCCTTGCCTGCTGCTTAGAGCACACGTAGGCACATGCATGATGTGTTGCCCACAGGTCAGAGCATGTGCAGCAGCTGGATATGTGGGCCTCGTCAGGCAAAGGGACCATCACCAGAACAAAAAGGCGTGGCCTGTTTTCCAAAATATTCAAGTTCTTCTTCCTGGTGGTTCAAGAGTCATTCCCGAGTCCCTCGGCACCTTACCCCCAGCACCCCTGCTGCTCAGTCCCTCCCATGATCTGGCAACAAAGCTGTGATTCCTGACCCTGTAGGGCCAATAGGGTCTTCCTCCAGCTCCAGGGCAGGTGTGTCTCCTGATGCGATGGGTTGGTGTCTGGGCCACTCTGCTTTGTAAATATCTTGACTTTCTCCTGGCCAGTGAACATCTTGGTGTGTGCACATGTTTGGTCACATATGTGACGTGTGTCTGCATGCACGTACGAGTGCGTATGTGTGTGTGGTGTTTCTGGGTGTGTGTCTTTGTGTGTGTATTTGCCTCTCTTCCCATGTCGGGGAGTGAATACTGGATGTGGAAGAACCAGCAGGAGACCCCGGAATAGTTTTCAATTTTAGTTGCCCATATTTAAAAACTTAGACATATTTCATAAAAGCCTGGATTTTCTCAGCTCCTCTCAAAGATTTGAGACATTTGATGTTACAGGACTTGCAGAACAACAAGGCAACAAATATTTCAACAAATTAGACCAGCATGTCGGGCACGTGACGCCATCTGCTGGAACGGGACTTCCACTAGACAGAGGCCTCCCCACCCAATGTCTTTTCCTTTGGACAGTCATTGACTTTCCAGTTTGTTGTAAGACTTACCTGGCCCATTTCACTCCTTTGTGCTACCTGCTTGACCCCTAGGTAACTGAGTTTTCAACTGCTCCCTTATAGCAATTATTGAAGACGATAGTCCCATTTACAGAGGAGGAAACTGAGGCCTTATTTGTAGGCACGTCAGACCCGGCCAGGCTGGGCAGGGGCCACGGAGGGATAGATCCCAGCCAGTGTACACCGTGTGTCCCTGGGAGTGCCCTTCTGGGTCTTTCAATGGCTTCCAGGTAAAGGGGTGGGATAGGCCAGCCTGCTGTCTTTTCTGACCCCCTTTCCTATGTCACACAGGAGTTCTGCTCAGAGCTGCCTCTCTTCCCCTGCACCCTCTATGGCACCACGTGTGACGCCTTTGACAGGCTCTTCTTGGAGGATGTGTGGCTGCCTGAGCTGAGCGTAGGCGATTGGCTGGTCTTCCCCTCCATGGGTGCCTACACGTCCTCCGTGAGCTCCAGCTTCAATGACTTCCTGCCCATCACCATCTTCTATGCCATTGGCCCCCAGCTCAGGTGTCTGGGGGTTGGGGTTGAAGAGGAAGCAGGGAACCTCACACTTACTGGAGCCTGGGGTGGGAACTGGTCCCAAGGACTCTCCCTTCCCATTGACTCACTGAAGTCAAAGTGTCCATCTGAACTTTAGACTCTGATCTGCCTCTGGGCCCCCTCCCAGGGAGGTGGAGATTTGCAAAACTGAAGCCTCTATTCAAGCAGAATTGGTGGCAGGAGACCCCTGGGCCCTCTACCCACTGGCTGGCCTCACTCCTGCCTCAGGTGTCCACTGCCCCAGCTCTGCCTCCAGGCCCCAGCTCTGCTGCTGTGTGTGCAGCCTCAGGGCTTTAGACAAAGGGCCTTGACACCCACCCTGCATCCCATGCCCTTTCCCCAGGAGCCTTCTGGAGGCAGAGCCTTAACCCAGAGCCTGCCAGGCTGGAGGGCTTTCAGACACTCAGGTAGGCCCCTGGGAACTGTTGGGAGTTGGGATGGCAGGGAGGAGGCAGAGGTTTGGGTAACTCTGAAATCCTATGTGGAACTTCCAAAAACATCTTGTTGTCATTTTGGGTCAGTTCTTTCCTTTTCTCTCTTCTGCTTTCCCTCCCTCCCTCCCTCCCTCCCTCCCTTCCTTCCTTCCTTCCTTCCTTCCTTCCGTCCGTCCTTCCTTCCTTCCTTCCCTCCCTCTTTCCTTCCCTGCTTCCTTCCCCCCTTCCTTTCTTCCCTCCTTTCCTCTTTCCTTCCTTCCTTCCCTCATTTCTTTTCTTCCTTCCTTCTTTCCCTTTCCCTTTCTCTCTCTCTCTCTTTCTCTTTCTCTTTTTTTCTTTTTTTGAGACGGAGTTTCACTCTTGTTACCCAGGCTGGAGTGCAATGGCGCGATCTCCGCTCGCCGCAACCTCCACCTCCTGGGCTCAGGCAATTCTCCTGCCTCAACCTCCTGAGTAGCTGGGATTACAGGCACGCGCCACCATGCCCGGCTAATTTTTTGTATTTTTAGTAGAGACGGGGTTTCACCATGTTGACCAGGATGGTCTCGATCTCTTGACCTCATGATCCACCCGCCTCAGCCTCCCAAAGTGCTGGGATTACAGGCTTGAGCCACCGTGCCCGGCTTCCCTTTCTCTTTCTTTCTCTTTCTCTCCTTTCTTTTTGAGACAGAGTCTTACTCTGTCATCCAGGCTGGAGTGCAGTGGCACAATCTCGGCTCACTGCAGCCTCAACCTCCCAGGGTTCAGGTGCCTCCTGAGTAGCTGGGACTATAGGCATGCACCACCACACCCAGCAAAATTTTGTATTTTTGGTAGAGATGAGGTTTCGCCATTTTGCCCAGGCTTGTCTCAAACTTCTGGGCTCAAGTGATCCACCTGCCTCAGTCTCCCAAAGTGCTGGGGTTACAGGCATGAGCCACCGCATGCCTGTGGCTTTGGTCAGATCTTACAGAGTTTTCTCAGCAGCAACCTGCCCTGCCCACCCTTCTTATTTTCTTCCCCATCCCTCTTTTCCCACCCTCTTGAGCAGTGGTTGAAGGGGACACATTAGAAGCTACTTCCTCACAGAGTGACAACAAAAAAATGGGCTATTGATCTTTTATGTCAAATAATGCAGCCTGCATACCTGCTCAGTTCATACCTAACTGGTGTCAGTTTACATCCTTAAATTCATCCCACCACTCCACCCACTTTCTATTTACTCATGCCCTTGCCTTGTTCCAGAAAGGGTTTCTATAAAATGCATCAACATATCATACTAGTTAAGAGCACGTCATTGGAATAAGTGAAAACTGGGCTCAAATTTAAGCACCACTGCGACTAGCTGTGAACTTGGGCAGGTTAAATAACTTAGTTGAACTCTAGTTTTCCTTGTAAAATGGTGGTAAGAATAACAACTTCCCCATAGGGTTGTTGGGATTAAGAGGGGGACGAACATGTCATTTAGGGTCAGCTTCCCCTCTACCTGAGATGGAGTTTCACTCTTGTTGCCTCGCTTGGAGTGCAATGGCGCCATCTCAGCTCACTGCAACCTCCGCCTCCTGGGTTCAGGCAATCCTCCTGCCTCCCAAGTAGCTGGGATTACAGGCGTGCACCACCACGCCTGGCTAATTTTTGCATTTTTAGTAGAGACAGGGTTTCACCATTTTGGTCAGGCTGGTCTTGAGCTCCTGACCTCAGGTGATCCACCCACCTTGGCTTCCCAAAGTGCTGGGATTACAGGCTTGAGCCACCATGCACATCCTAGAGTCAGCTTTTCCTTCAGCCACCTTGTTCTTGCTGGCTCTCCTCCTGGAGTTCAGATGTTGAAGAGACCCCACCCTGAGCCCTGGGCCTTTTCATAGAGTGTTTGTAGGGTGTCCCATTCAGGCCAAGCCAAGATGTGTGTGTACCCGATGCTACGGGGACAGGCGAGGCAAGTGCAGACCCAGTTCTCGAGAAGTCCTGAGGCCCATGGAAAGCTAAAGGCAGGTGCAGCTGGCTGCGGCACAGGGAAGAACATGGGACATACTTTGAGGACAGTTCAGGGGAAAGCCATCCATTCGGAAGACTGGGTGGCTTCTTGGAGGGACAGTGGGGGGACCTGGAGGAAGAGCAGAATCAGTAGGTAAAAGCGGGCAGGAAGCGTGAACAACTTGGCCCAGGCATGGGAATGAGCCTCTGTTCAGAGAACAGTGAGTGGCCAGGATTGGAGATGAGAAACAGAGATTGCAGAGCCTAGGGACACAGGTGACTAGTTCGCCTGGATTTGTCTGGAATATTTCTGGTGCTGGTGCTGTAAGTCCTGAGTCCCAGGAAACTCCTGAGTCTCAGGCAAACCAGATGTTTGGGGAGGGAGGGAAGGAGCAGAGGCAGGGCCCATCACATCCCAAGGCCACATTCCTGCAGCAAGTGAGTTCAGCTACTGATTTCTCAGCTTCCAACTCAGGGAAGGTGCTTCCCCTCCCTTCAGCAGGACGTCTCCCACCCTCTCTGCTACCCCTCAACTCAGCCAGGTCTTCAGTATTCCCAGAGTCCCTGGAGCTGAAGAGGAATTTCCCCTGACACCTGGGAAGCAAAGGGCAGATTGGGGTAACAGAGGCCACTCAGAGAAGCTAGAGAAGCTCAGCAGCCCATCCAATCAGGTGCATCTTATGAGGGCATCCCAGAATATCAAATTCCCTGCCTGCAAAATGGTCTTGGATATACCCAAACGCTCAGGAAATAAGCAGCACAGATTATGGGTGGGATACTTAGGAGCATGAGCAGGCTTTGGGCAATGTGAACTATATCCAGATGGAAGACATTCCAGTGAGTTTTCTTTGCCCCTTGGGGGTGGGAGACGGTAAGTGGGTCTAGGTATGTAAATCGCAGGCCTCCAGGTCTAACCGACCATGAACAAGATGATGTTTGCAGTTTATGATCCGTAAGAAGAAGCCTCCATCACTTGAATCATGGGGCATTAAAAACAAACAAACAACTAGAAAACACTGGGAATCTGGAGTGGGGTCACACATCTGTTGTCATCTACCTCTGTCAGTCCTCGGCTGCTGGACCGCTGCACCCCAGGTGCTACAAGGGCCTCCCTCAGCCCGCATCTCCTAAGTGTGTCCTCCAGGCCCCTCCAGGTGTTCCTAAGGCCACCACCTTGCGGGAAGATACACTCCCCTGATGCTGACACTGACACTGTCAGAATGGCTGGCTGCCTGGCCCCTTTGCTGCCTCTTCATGAACCACCAGTTCCCAGGCAGGAGCCCAGGGTCACCTCCTACCACCACTACTCCTTCGCAGGAGCCCCTCCATGGCCACTGTAGGAAGCACTGCCAGGAGCTAAATGGCTGCTGCCTAAATACTGCCATCTTCTTTTCCGGCATGAGTACCTCCCATGGGCAGAATGTCATGGAAACCCAACTGGCAAGGGAATCTGGGAAATGTAGTTTTTAGGCTTCCAGCCTGGTGGCACAGAGGAGGATATGGAAAGGCAAGCAAGAGGTAGTGTGGGGCTCAATACAATAGACTATATCTGGCAGAGGGAGACGGGCAAGAAAGAAGTAATTAGGATTCATAGTTTTTAAACTGGCCCAATTGTCCCATAGAGCTGATGTTTTTGGTTTATTTTGAATAAACATAGAAATTGACCCTCCCAGTCTTGAAATGAGAACATTATATTTGTCTTATCTGAGTTGCTTTCTCAGGAAACCAACCATCCAGGCTCCCAGATAGTATCAAGGAGCTGAAACTCACCAGACCTCTCACCTGTTGATGGCCTAACTGACCAGCTACTTCTGCTGATCAGCCTCTCTTCCTTACCCCTTAATTTCCCACACATGGTTACATTTCTTCCTTGCTATATAAACCTCTGATTTTATTGGATTTGAGACTGATCACCCATCTCGTTGGCTGCAGCACCCAGTTAAAGCCTTCCGTGGCAATATTTGTCTCAGTGTTTGGCTTCTGTGCAGCAAGCAGAAAGACCTAGACAGAACTCCTGGTGTTCTGGTAACAGTTTCTGTACAATGACAGAGAAGATAACCTGAAAACCTTCTCAACAACAAAACCTAGATTTGCCAGATAATATGTAACCAACTTTCCTTTAGATGCATTGCTGGACTCATAAGAAAGAGAAATAGGTTAGGTGTAGTGGCACATACCTATAATCCCAACACTTTGGGAGGCCAAGGTGAGCAGATCACCTTCAGTCAGGAGTTCAAGACTAACCTGGCCAACATGGTGAAAGCCCATTTCTACTAAAAATACAAAAATTAGCCAGGCGTGGTGGCGCATGCCCATAATCCCAGCTAACTTAGGAGGCTGAGGTAGGAGAATCACTTGAACCTGGAGGCGGAGCCAAGAATGTTTCACTGCACTCCAGCCTGGGTGACAGAGTGAGACTCCATCTCAAAAAAAAAAAAAAGGAAAAGAAAAAGAAATACTTAAGAACCAAAACCAAAGAGGAACAGTAAGTGTAGAGCTGACCTTTGGGCTGTCCTGGGGGTAACCAAAGGAGTTAGCTTTAAATAGCCATCTAGGGACAAGGTATGAGAGGCCTGGCAAGAGAGAAATAGGTGTTTGGATCTAATCCCACCAAATGCACACAAATCCTAAACCATTATAGAGTTACATCTGCCGAAAAGGAGTGGACTAGAAAAAACACCCACCCCTTTGCCCACGGGCATAGAAAGACAACAGTGAAGCTTGTTTGTCTTGACTTGTACTCTGGATTGGAAACGAAGGAAAATTCTCCCTTGAGGATTTACAACTATAGGCCAACCCTCCCAAGGGTTTAGAACTTACACTTACATTTTCTTTGTAGTCTGAGAAACCCTGAAGCTGAGAAATTAGTCTCCAAAGTGGTCTGTGACTGGTAATATCCGAGGGATGCCTGGTAGAAGCAAATGAGATCTGCTCTGCATAGTCGCACCCTGAACCCACACATAAAGATGAACTCACAAACC